CCTCGAAGAGCCTGTTCTGGAGGATGTTGAGCGTCATTCTTCAGTCACTTTCTGTGCTAGAAAACGAGAGTGCAGGTTCTCTTCGTCAAGCAGTTTCTCATTCGCGTTCAGCAGTACTAAGCCATAAATTCCCGGGAGGATCTTGACATGTTCCAATTCTTGTCTATCCCGTTCCCTAACAAGATCCGCATGGAACCATTGGATCCCTGCTCGGGCCAAGGTGTCCGTGACTTCTGTTAGTATCCTTGCGTCCAGAAGAGGAAAGTACAACTTTGTATATCCTTAGACAAATTCGCATAGGACGCTGGCCATGGTGGAGTGTGGGACTAACCTCACTGGAATGTGATCTCCATATAACTTCTTTGTCTCCCCAAAGATCATATTCGGTGTGGGAGAGCAATCCACCTCCACCGTGGGGATATACGACTCTCCCGCTTCATTCGTGAGAGCTAGGAAGCAAACTCCTTCGGTTGATCTAGTGCACACTAGTGGCACCAGATTCCTTTGCACTGATTCCATCTTGTTCCTGTCCACTGTATCTGCCCTGCGGTTTTTGTCCGGGATCCTGCGACTCTCCACCTCTTGCCTGCCGCGGTACCTCTGCCTAGATGCCGCCGAACTCTCCATCGAAGAGGACTCGCCTGAAGCGGACCTCTCTTCTTCACAGCATTCGCTTCCCCACCCTTACTCTAGAGTGTGATGTAACTGACGTCTTTGAGAGCTCCTCCTGAATTGTTCCTCCCCCGACTGGCTGTCTGGATGTCTCTCCCCTTGCTGTCTCTTCGTTGCCCCTTGCGCTTGGATTAGGGCCTTGGTTACTATGCCTCCATGACTAGGTGGGGTCACCTATGTTCCTCTGAGATTCTTCCTTCCACGCGTCTCACCTGGCATTGTTTACCCTCGAGCAGCGTCTGTTTGAGCCGCCTCTCCCTTCCCATCTAGAAAAGTCTAGAGACGGGAGACCTCTACTTGTGGCCTGTGGGGCGTGATTTCGCCGGTCATATGTGTCTGAGGGATATCCTGGCTTGGGATGTTCCACCTGTATCTGCTGGACCACGCGGTGCAGATCCCTTGGTACTTGGACATTGCCTTCATACATTGGTCCCGCTTGATACTGGCTCTGTTGCTGATACAGTTGTTGCTCCTGCCAGGGGTGGTACGTCGCTGTTTCTGGTAAACCTCCACATACTGGCCCTGACAAGCTTCCACCTGGCCACTGGCCATTGACTAGTCTAGCCTCGTTCCCTCCTCCTGTCCAGTCGTTCCCTGGGAGTCAAGGATGCATCAGGGGAGGACCTGCACTAGAGGCCGGCCCACCGTACCAGTTTTGTTGGCCCCTGTGTGGCTCTTCTCTGTGCTGTCCTTGAGCGTTGTGGCCGCTCGCTTGCTGTACCTGTTGGTGATTAATCCTCCATTGTGTATTTACTCCCCCGTTTTCAAGGCCCGTGCTTTGAGTCACTGCATCCATCGAAACACGTTGCTGATGGTAGCCTACCATATGATTCGCTGCCAGTACAGCTGCAGTGCGCGGGTGCGTTACATTCTGCGTACCCTGTGCACCCTGCCCCTGGGGGGCTCTCCCAGTTGCTGTTTGAGAGTGCACTTCTCCGCGGTGCGGCTGCTCTTCCCTGCCATCGCGCTCCTGGTTCTGCATGTGCTCTCTGAATCGCGCCCTGTGACCTCCCTGCCTTTCTCCCTTTCCTCTTCGCCAATCCTCACTTTGTCTGAGTCTTGGGCAGTTGTCTTCCGTATGGAAGTACCATCTGCACCTCTTGCACCAGTCTGTGTAGGGGGATACAATCTCGACCCTCCACTGCTCTCCCTTGGGCGATTGGATGATCAACTCATCGTCAATCCTGTGCCTTGCCTCGGAGGGCATGTCCATTTTAACATTCATTAGTTTTGGACGGTCATTATCGTATTCCGGGGTGTGTACATCCAGGATTTCACCAAACATGCCGCTGACCGCACTCCTCAGGAAGTAGTAAGCATTGAGGGGGACCCTCAAGGCCATTATCCATAACTTTGTTTTTGCTTCCTGAATTCGAATGTCTTGAAGCTCTTGCTTAGTTAACCGGGGTTTGAAGTGCACCAGGTATAACTTGTTCTCCAGCTTGATCGACAGCTCCTTCTGTTGGATCAGCCAGTCAGCTATCTCTTTCGCCTTGGCCACGTATGAAGCTACATTAGGGCCTTCAAATTTTACTCTACCCCTCCGAGCTTCCGGCTTAAAGAGACGCTTTGCCGTCCATCCGTCTTCATATGCTCGGATGAGATCTTCCTTGTCCGCTCTTGACAGGTTCCTTGCGTTTCTTTGAAAGGTGACAATGACTGATCTCCCCCTCAGCCACTGCTCTTTGAATTCGTTAACTGCTTCATTCACTACAAAACGTTTCCCTTCTTCATCTACTGCAACCTTGCCCAAATTGACATCTTCCGGACAGATTCCTTCATCATAGCATCTACCTATCGATTCTCTAACTTTGGAAAGTTCCCCACCCAATTGGATTGGGGATGATGGTTTGTCATTACCACTTCTGTCTAGGCCCGCCATCTTCTAACCTTCCAGGGTCCTGCCCTGATTACAACTCAGCCTGTATCTAGATTGAAGATGGTGATCTTGGCCTAGCAAAAGAAGAAGCACGTAAATCCCCTCCCCTCCAATAGAGGGGCACCTCGCGTCGTGCATCCTCCCCAAGCAGAAGATCGACAGAAGACTCGATGTCGATCTTCTCCCATGCCAATCGCTCTGCGCGTCTGCTGCTGTTGTCGGTGGTGCAATGCACTACTCAGTGTGAAACATGCCTAAGCTTGTCCGACTTTTGGCTCCGCATTGTAGATCAGATTTCGAATCCTTATGTTCGATTGTTCAGGAGGCCGAAAGAAGTGCCTAGTTCCGTTGCTCTTGGGAAACCTCCCACACCCATTATCGGTTGCTGGCTTCCCAGTTGTGCCACTTGAATCTTCTTGGGGGAACGGCGATGCTGATGAGGAGCCCCCAAAATTATTTCTTCCACTATCTTGGGCAAATTCCCAGTTAGCAACGTGCTTGTTTTTATGTTAACTGCTTCCCTCCCCAACCTTGGTCAACGCTCCTACTTCCATCAATTTCCCTTGAGCATTCTGCATGTCGATGCCGAGATGACCCGTAGCTCGTTCTCGGTCCCCCTAACGCCACTGTCGCTCCTTGTGTTCGAAGGTTGTCCTTGTACTAACCTCTCTCCATTACTCGTCAAACGTGTCAGCTCCGATTAAACCTTTCACTCGAATATGGGAGAAAGGAGTAGGATGAGGGAAGTCAAACGGGATCTCCGTAAACGGGGAAGAAAGGAGGGATGAGCGGTAGGGACTATATACTTCCACCCGATCTCGTTCGTCTATGTGTACCGAGGTCTGTATTTCCGAATCCCCCTCGTCTCCGCCGTGCCCTCTTCCTTTCACCTCTGTAGCCTACCCCCCGCATTGGATTACCGAGAGCGATTGGTCAAAAAGGCTGCGTCTGAGCGAACACTGGAGTATCGTGAACGGGAGCGGGATTAGGAGGACAAAACCTCCAGCGGCCTCTACTATGAGAGACTTTTTGGTTGAGCACTTCCCCCGCTTTTGGCACACTCCAATTCCCTCTTACTACGCCTCTCCAGCCCTAGCCATCGAAGCCGCCTTGGCCAGCCCTACTCTTTGTTCCAACTACAGTACCTGGATAATAGAAAATCCGGCGCCCACCTACCACGGTAACAGTCAGTTGTTTACTCCTGTACGTTCGTCGTGAAGGGTGGGAAGTTTTACCCTCATCACTGCGACGCTATTCCAGGTGAATGTATCGAGCCAGCCTAACAACCTTGGTTCCACCATTTTCGGGTATTCCCTCACTGTTCTACCTGGGAGTGTAAGGTCTAGGGCTCCGACCCCCCACCAAGGTACAGCCCTGGATACTACTTTCCTGTTGTTACACATGATCCGGCGTCAATTTTCCTTCCTCCCTCTTCCAGTTACCGGAAGGATGAGCTATGGTGAACCAAACGTCCCCGTGACCTACCCTACGGTAACTTCAGGACTACTCGGATAGGGCGTCGCAGAGGACCAGCCTCCTCCCACGAAGAGGGGAGTGCGACATCCAACACCCATTCCCCATCGAGTCGGCGGAGGTGACGGCCGAGCAGCGCCTCACGCTGAAGCGCGAAGCGGCAGCAGGAGGCAGAGTGCTATGCTACCCGCCCGGCACCAAGGTTCCTCGGTTGTTTTTCTGAACTTTGCATAATGATGAAGACCCTTGTTTTGTATAAAAAAAAAATGGAAAAAAAAAAGAAAAAAAAGAAATAGATGAGAGAAGAATATAGAAAAAAAGAAAAAAAAAGGGGGAAAAATTTCCATAAAGTTCGAGTTACTTGCAGCGTGCCCCTCTGAATTCCGGAAAAACTCTGGCATCGTTTGGGCTTGAAATGTGTTCAATATGCCCCTACAGGTACGGGTTCCAAATCTCCAGTATGACCCGGTAACTCCCCTCGCAGGACAAGGGGAACGGCGGCCACAGGGGCATGCTGGACAGTTGCACCTCTTACTGACAGGGGCCTGCCCCTACAAATACGGCTTCCAAATCTCCAGTATGACCCGGCCAGGGTACCGGTGGCCACAGGGACATGCTTGACAGTTGCACCGCTCACTGACAGGGGCCTGCGGGAACGGTCATGGCCCAAATGGGTCGTTAAAGGGGCACGCCGCAAATAAATCGAACTTTCAGGGGCATATCGAAAAGTTTTACAAAAGAAAAAGTATCTGACCGCCTTACTTGGATGTATCTGAACCCAATTGCGTCGCGAAATACCTAACGAGTATGCGTCGACATAATCCGATGAATGTGCTCCATTTCGTTTGTCCCGACAGCCCAGCGGCTGGCCTCACGCAGGACCTGGGACGAAGACCGTTCCGAGCTCGTCCACGCGGCAATCGACCTGCAGTTGCGGATCGGAGTATCGGGATCCCAAGCTCCATCTGATCGGAACGAGTGTCCGGTTTGTGTACGCATGCCGAGCCTGTGAACAAAGCGGTCGCGAGCTTGCCGTGCTTGAGTGGACAAGGACCGCCATTTCGCGGAGTTCAAGTTGATCGGCAAATTGGCGGGCTAGCTTGAGTCAGGAAGGATGCGCATCTCAACTCTTGGTTTTGTTGTTCCGGCATTTGAGGTAGTTTGCTGAGTACTCCCAAGGGCAGTGCTGGTGATCTGCGCAAGCTTATGCGAACTGCACCAGTCGGGCAAGGCAGCAATTTTGTGTGTGTGTGTGTGTGTGTGTGTGTGTGTGTGTGTGTGTGAGAGAGAGAGAGAGAGAGAGAGAGAGAGAGAGAGAGAGAGAGAGAGAGAGAGAGAGAGAGAGAGAGAGAGAGAGAGAGAGAGAGAGAGAGAGAGAGAGAGAGAGCCTGTTGCTCTGGCTTGATTTGAGTGAAGATGGCGACGAATGCTAGCGAGAAGGAGGCAGCTTTCGTCGCCTACGACTTTGAGACTGACGAGAGGTGGTTGACATACAGGACGAATCTGACTATTCCGCCTGGGCGCAACGAGGCGGCCGTCATTCGGCGCTACAAGCAAAAGTTCTTCAGACAGCACATTGTAAGAGTTGTGTCTCCTACAAACCAATTTTACTGTTTTATCGTCCTCCTCCAAGCTCGCAGGCATTAACCATCGCCCGTTCTCAGCCATTTTCCTGGGAGCATGTTTATGAGCGCTACGGCTTTTCCCGTCCTCGCCTCTTACGCGTTCGTTTCTTGTCTGCCTGTCTCATGACCGCCCTCCGTTCTGATTCTCCTGTTCATCCATTTGTCTCTTTTTCCTACCTCCGTTTCCTCTTCTCTTTGCGTACCTTCTCCTTCTCTTAGCCTTCCCATTGCCCGGATCATCGCACGATTCCGCATGTCTGTCGCCATCCTCCTCGGAGTCCGGCCGACCCTGTTTTCCTCCTGTCTACCTCCGCGATCATCTCCCGGCTCTCTTTGTCAGGGAAGTCCCTGGCCCAGCTGCGCTGCTCGAGACGCAAGATAAGAACAAGAAGCTGATAACCTTGTGATGCGTGAGGGGATGGAGGACAATGGATCAGGGAGGGTGTTGTGGATCTCCTATAGCAGTGACTGAGCGATCGCCGATGCGGCCTTAAATGGGAGCAGTTCTCTATGTTTGGGGCACACAGAGGACGATAGGGAGGGCTCATGGGTTCTGTCAACGGCTGTGAGAAGGGTGGAGAGGAGAAGTTGAACGGGGGATGGGAAACGGTGGGAGATGACGGGGGAGAAGAGGAGGGCGAGGGACTTGATGGGGAAAGGAGCACGATAACGCGATGTAGGCTGTTTTCTTTAAGGCCTACGGCAGCTTACTCCTTTATCTGTCCATTTTCTTCGCCGGGCACAGTTGTGCGGAGCCAAGGGAATGGGAATTCCAGTGTCGTATGCTTTTGGCGTGCGCTCCGGAGCCAAGGGAATGGGAAATCCAAATTTCAATTTCAGTTTTCCTTTTTCTCTGAGATAGTGTGGGGATCACGATCGTTGTCACGATGGTTGTTTATAATTCTGAGTAAGACGTGAGGAAGGGGGGGGTGGGGGGCAGTGCGGCAGGCGGAGAAAGAGAGAAAAGGAGTTAGCGGCGAGGGAAGAGGAAGATGGTTACGGGAATTGTGAGGACTTCCTTCTCGTGGCACAGCCTCTGTTTTCTGTCTGCTTTTTGGTATTTTTTTAGGAAAGACTTGACTAATTGAGTACGATCAATACTAATGTCTACATGGTATCAATCTTTCTATCTATTCTTAGAAACTGGCGGGGGAGGCATCGTGGATGAATTTGTGCAGAGGATAAATCTGTGGATCAATGTTGAAGACCCCTACACAAGATCATGCTGCAAATGGTTTGGTTGGTTATACTCCACTTTTCTGAGGTGATCAATCGACCGGTAGGTACACAGTGTCGGTGGGGTGATCGTTTCGCGCTGCTGACGTTATCGATAGCTCTCAGTCGGTCACTTTTATTAAGCAGATCCGATCGCTTTTCTTCTATCTGCTTGTTTTCCGACCGGAGCTGCTCGAAGCCCAAACAAACTGGGGCCGTCGCGCCCTGCAGAGCGTCGACGTTGGTGACGGATCGTTTTCTTTTCTCGATTTAGTATGATCATAGGGGGAGGGCCAAAACCGAGAAAAATGATATGGATGATAAGGCGGAGAACGTGGGAGAGAGAGAGCGATGATGATGTGGTGGATGATAAGGTGGAGAACGTGGGAGACAGAGAGAGGCGTCTGTGGGTTCGAATTGGTGAGTGGGGTGAGAGAACGGCAGTCTGCTCTGAGTTTATTCAGGCAGGGATCGTCCTCGAGGGTTGTAGATGTTGCCCACTTGCTACTGGGATGTGGGGGAACGCTGTTGATGTGTTCCTTTTGTTTCTTCTGTTCTTGGGCGCCGCTAGTGCTTGACTTGCCTCGCACGGGGAAGGTCTTTCTTCTGGAGACAGCCGAATGCTCGAGCGGGCCCGCCTGAGGCGAGTCAGTCGCAGGCAGTTTCTGCCCTTCACCCACGGTTTATAGGGTGAAGGACAAGAGAAAGCCCTAAATTGGATGCTGCTTGAAATGAAAAGCTAGATAGCTCTGGTACTCCATCCACTCGAAGGATGAGGAGGAAGAGGAGGCGGCAGAACAGCAAGAAGAGGCAGACGTAGATGAGAAAGGAGGCGAGCCCCGTCTTTTAAGGATCGACCAGGTTTCTTTTCCTTTTGTTGGCGCTACTCTGCTTAATGGATTGCATTGAACTGCGCCTTCTGCCCCTCCTTGCCTTCTTTTTCCCGCCTTTTTCCCCCGTGCACTTCTTTTTTTTTTTTTTTTCTCTTGTCTTCGCTCTTATCTGGGAAATATTAGAAATTTGTAAACGAAAGCTGTTGTTTGATTCTTCGTAACAAGCAAGCTTATCTGGCGAGGTTTTGTCGTGTACGAATGGGTTTGTTCATTCTTGCTTGGCTTTGATTTCCCTAGGATCCGGACTACCAGATCGATCCGCTGCCCGCGTCGACTGCATCGAAAGCAATCCCATCCGGTTTTCATGCCGGAAGAGACATTCCTCGACCACCACGGCAATCTTCTGCAGGTACGCGGCCCTTCTTTGCGGGAGTTGCCTCTTGGCGTGATTGCCTGGTTTTTACTTTCTTATCACTCTTCTCATTACACTTGCTGTAATTTCTAAGGAATTCATCTCCTTGCGAGTGGTTAGGCGGAATTCTTTTCAGCACATCTCGAGTGCACGTCTTCGTGTGTCTTCTTATGAAAAGTGACCCTCTGCGCGAATCAAGGGTAGCTTCTGGTGCCCACCTCGCTTGCAATTGCAATCCCTACCCTTCTCCCCACGTGGCTCGTCCTCCGGGTTCTGGTGAGAACCCCTCCACGGGAGCAAAGCTGGGCGCGCCCTCGTCCTGCAGGCACTTCATTTTGTTCATGTCCGTGCCTCCTCTGCGCCGTTGGTCGGACGGATTGCCCCCACCCACTACGTTCTCCTACCGTTTTAGGGTTGTGGTGTCAGATGATCAGCTCGTCGTCTTCGCATGTTTTCTCTATGGGACTGCCGGGTGGCATTTGATTTGTTGTCAGGCTCCCTCAGTCAGCAGAGCATGATCGCTTGGTTCTGTCAGACAGGCAAACGTGAGGCGCCCTAGCTTAATAGTCCCTGTCGTTTTTACTCCCTCATGGGCTTCGATCAACGTACTCGGACGTTTTGTCATGTCAGTTGCATCGTTTCTGAATAGCCTGCCGTCAATGTGTGTGTGTGTGTGAGCCTCACGTTTGCCCGCTGCTGCACGTGTGCTTTCCATTTCAAGCCAAACTGTCATTGCAGGTAACGCACCCGGTAGAGGGTCGGAGACGATACCATCACCCCAGCCGCCGATGATCGCCTCTCCCTGCCAGGTAACGCACCCCACATTCTCTCTCAACTTTTCATGGGTGGGCATTCGAACGCCGGGTTCGACTCGAGGTTTGTCTTACGGTTTGACTGCCAGCGTAGGAAACATGCCGTCGGCACTCCTGATTAGGTTAAGGGCTTTGCTCCACTCGGCACCAAATTTGTAAACTGGCGAGTGAATCTACACCTCGAAGGTGGAAACATACACTCACCGTTTCCGCCGTTTTCACAGTTGGCGGAGGTGGAGCGAGGCCCTAAAAGGTGCCAAAAGCAAGGTATTCCTATATTCTGCCCAATGCTTGCTGCGGCTCGACTGCTGGTGTTGGGGTTTTACCGAACCACCGTTTTTACGTACTCATCAGTCTTGTCACATAGGCAATTCAACTCGTTGGCCCCCTGTGATTGCTTGCTATCCTTAACTCCGCCCCTGCCCGTAATTAGTACTGTCTCGCCGTCAACAAGTGTTCTACACACTATCCTTCACTCCCCAACTGCCGTGATGATTTGGGGCATTGGATCTTTTGCCATTTCGCAGCGCACTCGTAGCGAATATGCCTCCCACAGCTCAAGGGTGGGGCAGACCTGTAGCAACACGGACATGAACCTGGCTTTGGCAAACATGGAAACATGGCTCTCACCGCTCACACTTGGGGCATGGTTCTGGTAATTGGGACCTGATGCTGTCAACTCCAGCTAGGAGCATGTTAAGTGGCAGCCCCATACAGGATGGATCATCTACAGGTTTTTTTTTTTCTTTTTCGTGGTTTCTTTCGTTCTTTGGCTTTCACTTCTTTCTTTCTTTGTTTCTTTCTTTTGCTCGTGCTTTTCTTTCTTTGTATCTTTCTTTTTCGTTCGTGCTTTTCGTTCTTTCTCTCTTCTATTCTTCCTTCCTCTCTGCTTTCCTTTTTCTTTGGTTCCCCAATAGCCCGTTCCTCCCTTCCCTTCTTTTTTGTTCTCTTTTCCTCCCCCTGTTCTCCTCCTGTTATGTCCCCCCCCTCCTCCACCCCCCTTCTCTCTGTATGGTGGTCTTCTCTCTCTTTGCTTTTTATCTTACTCTCTCCCTGGCTCTCTTTCTTGGTCGTCTTCGTAACGTCACAGATAGGGCAACGAGTTTGCGTTCATGGTCTGCCGAGCCTCGCGGTCTGTTGACGCATTCATCCTCACTTGCCGGAAGCCAGTGAAGCCCTTCCGTTATGCTCTGTTAGACCCTCCCCCTACCCTCCCCTTCGCAAAAAAAGGCGAAGAACTCGTCTTCAGCAATCGCGAACTACATTGGCCCGTTCGTACCGTGCACATGCCAGTAATGGGCACTGTCCCGGCTTGCTGAATGGGTTGGTGGGGACTGGTCTAGCAACATTCTCCCGACTGGACAGCATGGGGCGGATCCAGCCGGATAGCGAAGATCCCAAGTTCGGCATTGTCAGATTGAGCGCAGCAATGGCATACAGGCAGTGCATTAACGATTGTCTCAGTTCAGTTCCCTTGTGCAATTGACTCGCAACGACCAGGTAATTGCAGAGTTTGCTCAAACTATTGTGCAATGTTTCGGGGCAAGCCCCGAGCAGAGGAGGTGATGCAACTGGGCTCTGTCGCATACAACGGAGGAGTATGCAGGTGGAGCACTGATAAAAGCCACTATGTAGTGGCAGGGCTATTGGAGCCACGAATAGGTCGTTCCTTGGCCTGATGGCCTGCAATCGGGCGGTAACATCCAGCAACAATGAGAGTGGAGGGCAGAATTCTTGGTGTCAGAGTGATTCTAAGATATCTTGGTGGCAGAGTGATCCTAAGATATCTTTCCTGTACCCGACACCAACGGGTGTCCTCTAAGCATTGTGTCCGGAGCGGACTGTTACAATCAAATTATGAGAGTTACGGGCGGCCGCCGCCGTAGATTAGTTTGAACGCAGGCAAACGAGTACCTGCTGTGTGGCAGGACCGGTTCATGTTCTGATCCTGCTCAACTTCCAATGCAAATCTCAATTTTGAGAGAAGGCACGATCGATGAACTCAAGAAGAAGTGGAAAAGAAGAAGACGTTTGAACCTATGTCATCGCCCTTCCTGAATTAATCAATGATTACAGCAATAAATGTACGAATGAACAAGAATCACGTCCGAGTAATCCCCCTTTCCGTACCGTAGGTCAACTCCCTTCTACTACTTCATAGGGCGGTGAAGGCCTGCCTCTTCACCGTCAAGCTCGACCGTCTCAACCCAGTGTTCCGTCTAACTCTCCCTGTGGGAGGGACTGCTGGTGTTGAATATGCCGGCCTACTCATTGCACCAAATGATACTCCCAACAGCTCCTCCCTACCTGCAGTTCCTGCCTTTTGGCGGGAATGTCATTGCAGTCACTCCCAGGGCCCGTATCTGACCTGATATCTCCTACGGGCCTGGACCATCATGACCTCTTTGGAAGCTCCTCTCCGCCTACTGGGTACTTGCCAAGGTCTACCTTTGTCCTTGTCGGTCCTGGCCTTTCTACATAGTCCGTCGTGATATCTAATTCTAGTCCTACGCCTGCCGCTTTGCCTATTTTCTGTTCTACTCTCCCGGACACAGAAAACACAGCACGAGAACAGAGTGAGTTCAGGGGCACAGCAAGTATCCCCTGAAGACTTGGACACAGGTAAACAGTAATCACACTCAAAACACAGACATCTCAGCAAATCAGGCCAGCAGACAGCAATACTCAGAGAACTGCAGACATCCCAGACAGATTCTCTACTGTTGGGCATTGGCTCGTTGAGCTCAGAATGCTGAGAAATGTCCCATTCTCAAATGAACGCACTGGTCATGTCTTATGTTTATTACAGTCAACAAGAAGATGCAGAATCATCACAATTCGTAAGTGTGGATGAAAGTTTGCTGCTGTGTTTCTGTGGAATTGAGTTTTGTGAAGGTGTGGTTGCTGAAGACAGATGACCATTTTTGTGATATGGGAAGGTTACGGCAGGATGAGTGGCATGATGCCCATTCCTTTTGCCTGGATGCTACGATGTCAAAGAGAGGCTCCTCTTTTACCAGCAGCGAACAGCTTAACAAGAGCTGGCTGCACTGGGCTGAAGACTTGTTCTTGTTGCGAGCCCACAGGCAGCAGAAACAAGTCCTTGGCTCCAAGGAGTGTGGGCAGGGGTGTTTGTTGTCTTGCTTGGATCATGTGACGGACTCTCATGCTCCCGTCTACTCTGCCATCTGAGTAACCAACTGCAGAACCTGTTGACCATCAACGCTCAAGTTCTGACCCATTGGAAGCAGGACAAATGGACTAATCCTTGCGGGGATGCAGTGATCCTCCGCCTGTCCTGTGTAATGAATGGTGAGGCATAGACCATGGCAACCGGCTGGGCATAGATGCAATACAGCTTTTCTTTCTCAGAGGCACCTTTTGCAGTGATCTGCTTCGGATTCAATATTATATAGTATCAATAGCTATAGCAGTCGGTGACTCAAACGGTTGCCCCAAAAATACGAAATAAAATAGACACAAGGGAAAATCGTATATCAAAACGACTTCTGGCATTGTCAAAAGGGATAGGGGTCAAAACTTCAATCTGATTTGCACAGACTTTAGAAAAGAAAGCAATAATGCGAGTGCCTTCAGAGTAGCTTCTGGAAACATTAAGCCGACATGACGTGGTGTGCTGAGGGCTCACCAGTGTTCTAGCTGGTCCATCCTAATGCCTCATGAGTAATCATATACCCTCTCTTTTCAGGCAGCCGACTGATGGCAACCGGCTGGGCATCAAGCAGACATCACGTGGTCAGCAATAGTCTCCTTAGGCAAAGGGTGCACTTCCAGCTATGCGTAGGAGTAATCATATACCCTCTCTTTTTAGGCAGCACCCTAATGCCAGTTGTGGGCAGAGCTGGGGCAACAACTATTCCTTTCGGCCGGTTGCTATCTGCACGACCTCCTCCATGAGTCCGAGTGCTTCACTGATGCTGTGTGTGGTTCCTTGGACCTCTAGCGGGTTGGAGAGGAGCAACCTTGAAAACTAGGAACTTGGAAAGTACTCCACCAAGTAGAGCAATCTTTGGCTTGATTTGTGGGCACTGCCAGAGCATTTTCCACTCTCTCCCTCTCACCCTATGATACGCTCCACAGGACACGTCAAGCGGTACAACCTCTGTACCAGGCAGGTCATCGAGCTGCCCACCAGGCCTGTCACTAAGCTTGATGCCCTTTGTT